AAAGACTTTTCCTATCATAGTCAACTAAAACCCCAACTATTATATACCATTCGATAGAGAATTTCACGAGCTACAAAATGGTATATAAAACATAAAGAAACAAGAAGGTTGGCTCATCTATCACAAAGATAATTAAAGAGAACTAGGTTAGATTTTTGTCCACGATCTAATTGATCCACAAATAGAGCTCTATCTTCCGATCACAGTGATAATACTTCGAGATTTTCTGAGATGGAGAACTCGAATCTGTATTCCACTTCCATCGAAATACTATTGGTTGAGCAGTGACCAATAAAAATCAAGTTATATGAAAAACGACTTTCTTAGGGTAAATCAAGGGGAAGAGTTCAAATTTGAGCTGTATTCGGTCCCAAGTCCTATTGGTTTGGCAATACTCAATAGAAATCAACAGTTTAGAGGGTAGGTTCCCCAGTATAATTTTGATGTCCACACGTTCTAGAACGACCCATCTGTCTCATTCACTTTTTGAAGTACACATAACTCTCGGATTTAAATCCGAAGTTTCCGCATTTATTTATTTATCTTTTATATATGTACAAATGTATGTACAAGATGGGAGGTGGAATAACCTATCGTCTATTATGACCTTACAGATCATAACAATCTATATAAGGTGTTACAGAGAAGAAATTTTTCCATTTTGAAGAATCCCAAAATGATAATAAGCTAAGAAAGCACAGCCCTACAGAGAATAACCAATACGCGAGGAATATATCAAAAGTAAACTTAGACATCGAAAATATACATGCATATAGAAAAAGAAAGAAAACCTGTGATGTATACTATCCATATGCAAAATAACGAAAGATAATGCATGACGAATATTGCAACGATCTATTCCTAGCATGATTTCATAGCTCTAGTGCATAAGCTATTGACCCGTACACTTACACCCACATCCACATCCACATCCACATACCAGCACCCCATACCCACATCCTGTATCTGAGTAGAAATTCAGTATATGCTTTTAGAAAAGATAGTAGACACATAAACAGAGATGTTCATGCAAAGAAAATGAGTACTCGAGTGTTTTATGTATGTTACGATGTGTTCTCATTTTACGTACAACAACCACTAGTTTGATTTGGATTTGAATTACGACGAGTATTTGGATTCTCATTAGGCAGTTTGTGATGAATTTTAATGCCACACATCTGAATTGAATCAAAGAGAATATCAAAAACTACAATTCAACAAAATCAAACACTCACTTCATTCGTAAGATCAAAGACACCATCATCAATTTTATTGCAAATTTCACGAGCTGTCTTGATAAATGCCTGAATTAGAATAAAAGATGGCACATTTTCTTAGTTGAAACTGCACCAAAATCTTACATCTTCGACGTTAACGGCTGTTTTAGCTGATGTCTCTATGAATATCAATCCATGGTCACGAGCAAAAGCTTCACCTTCTTCCTTTTGGACTTCTCGTCGATCAGATAAGTCACTTTGAACAATATCAATATAGAGATTTAAAATCAGACTAAAATAGCTTACCATTTGTTCCCTATGAGAACAATGACCATATTTGAAGTTGAATAATTTCGCAAATCATTAATCCACATTGTCAAATGGTCAAATGTAGTGCGTCTAGTGAATTAATTAAATTCAATGAAAAACTAAATTTGTTGAGCATACTTTGTAATATCATAGACAAGAAGTGCTCCAGCTGCTCCTCGATAGTATGAACGTATGATCGAACGAAACTGTTCTTGACCAGCCTACAAGACTACATTTGTAATATGAAAAAACGCATGCAAGTATACACAAACCGTATCCCAAATCTGTAATTTAACTCCTTTTTCAGCAACGTTGACTATTCGACTGCCGAATTCAACACCTAAAATAAAATGTTTAGATCAGATGATATTGATTTCTTTTTTTTTCAAGACTGTCATACCTATCGTGCAGTCATGTGCAGATTGAAAACGTTTATCAGTAAATTGAAGTAAAAGACAAGATTTACCCACGTCTGTGAGAGAAGAGAGAGAGCGAAAATAGATAAAAGAAAATATTTTGACAATATCTGAAGCATACTAATATCGCCAATGATAATATACTTGAACACATATGCATAGTCCATGACTTTTGTTTTATTTTCAGGTGAATAAATAAAAGTAAATCGTTAAATCAAAATCTAGAAATGAAAGAACAAATATTGAAGATGACGATGGGTGTGGGTATGGTTGTAGGTGTGAGTGTTAGTGTTTTCTTCATTCACACACCCACACTCATACCCATATCTATGAACTCAATTGACATTTAATATATCGGAATATTTCTTGTGAGCTAATAAACAAATCGAACATATAAATATAACAAGAATTTTCAAGTATCAACTTCTTGGTAACGCTATTCTGGTTAACCCTTTGAGGACGGAATTTTTTTCCGAAAACCGATTCTTCAATCATTTTGTTTTTCCATTTGTTTAGTTTTAATTATGACCAGAATACAAAGGAATAAAAGTACAAGTAGTTTTATTTCTCTCTGAATGAAAAAGTGAACGAGGTTTGCTTAAAAATCTAGAATATAAAAAGTTTGAGAATTTATGTAATAATTGTTTTTCACTTCTTGTATCTAAAGATTAGGACATTCTTCCACTTCTTAGCGAAAGAGGAGCAATAAATCTTTTCCAACATTAAGAACAATGTAAATTCGTCAATGAGAACGGATGTATATATACACAATAGAGAATCAGAATATTCTCGAAAAACAAAGGATCAGAAGAGAAGAGAGAAACTACGACGTCACTGTACTTTAGCACCAAAAACAAAGGATATTTGAAATGAATTTATATGAGAGAAGGAAAGAAAGAAAAGAAAAGTATGAGATGACACATGCAGTTGTTTATGACCTTACATATTTAATAGTTTAATGTGAACTAAACACTTTTTTTCTCTACTGAAGAATAGATGGGTGAAAAATAACCCACCCGTCCTCAAAGGGTTAAACAAGTACTGAAGGATTGGCAATCTTTTCATGATAACATTTAGAAGAGTTCACTAAATACTGCTACTTATTTAATAAAGTTTGAAAAATATTTTTTCATTTCTAAATTCATAGTACAAATGCTTTTTCTGCAGAGACTGCGTATTTGATCACTGAATGTGATCGATTTCACATCATATCTCACACGTTTACGGAATCCCGATCAGAGAAAGTAAATTAGGACTGACTACAGCGGAAGTGGATACTGATTCTAAAAAAAAAGAGATTCGGAGGCATCCTTCAATGTTAAAAACTCTCTGGGAGGTTTTAATTTGAAAATTTGATTCTCTAACAGGAGTATGCAAAAGGCGCATAATTGCTTTCTTCCACTGAGAGATGAGATCATCTAGTCTATACTTTGTTTGCAATGGGCTGTATTTTTCAACAATATGTTTCATATTTTCACCAGTGACTCAGCTACAAAAGCTGATGTGTGTATCAAGCCACGTTATCATATACTCTTCAAAAAGTAATACATCGTCGTCATTGTGAAATTTGCTTGAGTCATGATGTTGTAGAAAATTCATATGATTATAGGAAGATGTTTATGAATATGTTGGAAAGACAACCAAATAATTCGATGCTTTGTCTGAAGACTAGGTAAATTAATGAAAATGAACCTACTTGATTATTGATCAGACGTATGGCTGTACGACAATCATAATTGTTATTGTGTGAAAAGAGAAGCGAGAATAGTATGTTTTACAGTCACTTCAGAACATAAGGGTATATGTCAGTTGCATCAGCTGATATGAATGCGTTATCACACTTGATAATTTTTTTACACAACACCGCAAGAATGATTCGTCATTGAAAGAACACCTGCGTCGAAAACAAGCACAAGATAAGATGATCGAATGCAAAACAAATGCAGAATATAACAGAGACATCTACTCGACTTCACTAAGTAAGAAAAGTTACCGAAGTGATTTGCTATTATGCAGTTGTAAATATTGTTTTGTGAATTCATCCAGTAATATTTAAAGGTGAAAGACTATTTACCATATTTCTTGATAAGATGGGTGTGGATGTAGATGTCGGACTGGTTTTCATTTACACCGAGACTCACACCCATATCCATATACCATTGAAGGTGTGAGTGAAGCTTTTTTCTCAATACACACTCGCAGTCATACACCTACACCCACATCCACATCCTTATCACAAGTTTTTGGAAATTCACTTAGAATAAGAGGCTGAGTAATAATAAAACATGTGATAAATTTATAGTGAAAAAAGGGTGATTTTGGCTACATTTTCATATAATTTGAGTTGAGATTATTGTGAAAATTCATGAGAATACGCGAAGAAAAAACTGTTGATCCAAAAGCACCTATAAAAAACACATCTTTCGTCTTGATGAGATCTATGCAGATCGATGACCCAAACACCGCTCTTTCGAACAGTGGAAATCGTAGGCCTCTATCTTGCTCCTATCGAAAGTTACCCAGAAAAACATTTGAGTGTCTTGAATTCTAGCGCCGATAATAGTTGAGTTACTTTATTAGTAGAAAAACAGAGTCAGGAGCAATACCTAAATTTATTGTAGCTAATAACTTGTTTTTGCCCAGACAACGGTACCCGTACCCTCAGTATGATCCCAATCGATTTATGACACTGTTATCGAAATGCCACTTCCGAGGACAAGTCTGCCTTCGTTCTGACTG